ATGATGATGATGATGATGATGATGATGATGATGATGATGATGATGATGATGATGATGATGATGATGATGATGATGATGATGATGATGATGACCTGTTTCTGGTTAGCGCGTCGACATGTTTGGCTCCTCCAAATAATATCACTGAATAATAATATAGATCTAGTTATCGTTGAGATTTCTTAGACAAAAATAGCAATTGCCATGATGTCAGCTTTTCTCGTTTATGAAATGTGATGACACAATTTTTTATTCAAGTTTGACGCACGACATAATATTCATGTGTCTGTTGAAGAATGGCTTTGTTTTTTCTTTTACTTCGATTTTCCGAATTTGATGTCCACATATTGGTAAGATGTGACAAAGGCGTGTTAATGTGATGGCTATTGTTAGAAGTAAAATGCTGAAGAAAGTTTGTTCATGGCGAGTTCAGTGAATATGTCTTCGTCTCTTTTGAGACTTCAATTTTGTGATGATAGCGAGGACACGACAAAGTTTGTTGTTTTGTTTTTGGGATTTTTGTTGTTGAGGGGGGTTGTTGTTGCTGTTGATGCTGTTGTTGTTGTTGTTGATGCTGTTGTTGTTGTTGTTGTTGCTGTTGATGCTGTTGTTGTTGTTGTTGATGCTGTTATTGTTGTTGTTGTTGTTGTTGTTGTTGTTGATGCTGTTGTTGTTGATGCTGTTGTTGTTGTTGTTGTTGATGCTGTTGCTATTGTTGCTGCAGTTATTGTTGCTGTTTGTTTGCTCGTTTTTTGTAAGCGTTTTACAACACTGGCAACAGAACTTGGATAGAACAGTAGGTCAATATAATATAACAGGTGAAAAAGTCTTTGGAGAACTTGATGGAAGCCTGCGTTTGTTTTCTTCACTCCTCGATTCAAACCGATAGAACACCAGAGAAAACAATATTTTGTGCCTGTGGTACCTGAATATACTGATTATACTTTTCTATTTCATAGATCCGCTTGTTTAAACAGCTAAGGATTTGAAGTTGGCAGTTTGAATCTCCGAGTAAGATTTTAGTTTTGATTGTCCCTCTAACGATATTTTCCCCTCAGCTCTCCTGTGAGAAAGGATCAAGTAGTCCTACAGCCAAATTGGCCTGACGGAATGTTAACAAAAAACACGATGACGTCTATTATTATCATCATAAAAACAGATTGTTCACGTTATACATTATTCACGGTTCACCGTCATTAAAACAAAAACAAAAACAAAAACAAAAACAAACACACGAGCATCCACGTCAAACAGTGCAGAGAGAGAGCAATAACAGAATTTGAGCACTGGAAAAATCATTCAACACGATTGGATATGATTAAATACCGCGCACTCCAATTAATGGTTTCTTCAAAGGCGAGAGCTCTGATGTTCAATTTTCTAACACCGGCTCTGAACTTTCGGGAAAACCCAAACAAGCTGACATAGAGGAGAGATGTTCAATCTTCTTACACCGGTTGTGCACTTTCGGAGAAAAAAAATCAACAAGCTAACATAGCTCTAAATCTAGCTCTAGTCACGTATTGAAAGGGTGTTGGGTAATTACTTAAAAAATGTCCCGTGAGTTTAATGTGAGGTTCGTGTATGCACCTTTGGGTCGTGATAGAAATTGCACCAGCGTATATTATTTAAGAAAATCAGCAAAAAGCAAAACAACCCCCACAAAAATATTCCTGAGTTCATTTCGTGCTCTGGGTGAAAGTCGTCATTATAACAGTTTGGAAACATGCCACGGGCAAGTGGCGTTTACAGAATTTATTGTTTCTCTGTCTTTTTCTGAAGTAAAAAGACGAGTGAAGTTAGTCGAAGTGGGTGGTTGGTGGGTGCTCTGGTGTGGTTTGCTACTTCTTTCCTGTCAAACATCTATCATCCTGATCTCTCCTCCTTCGTTTTTTATGTTTGTTACTCTCTTGTAACACCTTTAATCTTTGGCACTTATGTGACCTTATAGTGCCGCAAGAGCCGTGAAACTCTTACTAAAACTAAAACGAAGTTACTTGAAGAATTCCCCTGGCTGTAAATGGTCACTTTTAAGAACACGGAGGCTTTCCCGAAAAATGCTGTTTTGAGATAATCGAAGGTAAAGTTTTTGGCCCCTTTTTTCAGTTTCTTTAAAAATAAGGAGAGTTTTTTTTCTATAACCAAACAAATATACACATCAATGAAACCAAACTTCTCCCATAGGCAAAGCAATGCCCACTTTTGGTGTTGGTCAAGATTTTTGAAAACCCCCGAAATCTAGGTTAGCCCGCTTGTCCTTATAAAAAGCGATCAAATGTTTTACACCTGGATCAACAGCGTCGGTGGGGTAGCGGTTACATACTTCACTGTCGCACGCGTGAGCCCGAGTTCGATTCCTGAGTGGGAACATGTTTTTTTCTATCGAGTATATCCGTCTTTTTACCGGGATTTTATGTCTCTCTCAATCCAGTTTTGTCCTGACAGGCATGTTCGGAAGCCCATCTCCTAAATAATCAAAACCGTCTCCATTTAGTTTTAGTAAGAGTTTTACGGCACTTGCAACACAATAAGGTCATATAAGTGCCGAAGATAAGAGGTGTTACAAAAAGTAACAAACATAAAAAAAGAAGGAGGAGAGATTTGGACGATCGATGTTCGACAGGGAAAGAAGAAGCAAACCACACCGGAGCATCCGCCAACCTCCCACAAATTGTGTCCATGGGGCAACCAACAATTGTTTAGCTGGAGACGCTATGTGCAAAGTAAGAGTGTGAAATAAAACTAAAGGATACAATCCTATTCAAGCAAGGAGACAAATAGTCATCCATTTCTCATAGATTTAATAAGCGGTACCAGTTTATAAGCAACGCCGGAAAAGGAACCACCGCTTTGTTACTATAAATAAGTAAATCGTCATAGGCAGAGACGATTTGCGAACAGGGGACCAAGCAATTTCAGCCATACCCCGTCATTGTTCCGGCTCTCGTCTGCTACCTAAGAGAGTTACGCACTTCCGTTTGACGGCTAGCCCGAGGTAAATGAAGCTTTGTCCGTCGCTCGACTGACCGACATCTCTGACAAAGGAA